AAGGTGTATGAGAAACTGGAGAAGTACCAGGGCCTGAAGGAGAAACTAGAGAGGATGTGGAAAGTAAAGGCCAAAGAGGCCCCAATAGTGCTAGGAGCACTCATGGCTGTGACTCCTAAGCTGGGAGAGTGGCTCCAACAGATCCCAGGAACAACATCAGAGCTCTGTGTCCAGAAGAGTGCAGTGGTAGGAACAGCTTAGATACCGCTCAGAACCCTCAAACTCTCAGACCTCTGGTAGAGGACTCGAGATTGAGGAAGACATATACCATCCATAGGGGTGAGAAAGGAATTTATTTTTATTTTTATATATATCAGTCACCATATATATATAAACACACAGATGAAGATGGTTTTAGATATGACATGCCATGAATGTCACTTTTTTGTATCAGTATGCAACATTTATAATAGTGACTATCTCTACATTTTGAAATTATGGTATAATTAGCTCATTTTCTACATGTAAATATTGTTAACTTTAGGAAGTGCCTATTTCCTTGCATCTGAATTATCTAAAATCAGCAATGTTCAAAATTTAGTGGGTCTCTCAAAGTTATTATATTTTATACTTCAATTTATTTTCTATTACGTGTCTAACATAAAAATATTTTAAAGCTAAAATATTGGAGAAAGTTTGTTTTTTCAGCCAACGTTAAAGAAAAATTGAAAGTGTTTTATTTAGAATTTAAAAAATCGGTATCTTTGAACATTTTAGCTGTGATTCATAATTTTTAACTTCATACAGCAAGTTTAATGTATTGAATTCTTTTTTTGTTTGTTTGCTTGTTTCTTTTTCTTTTTTTTTTTCTTTGTGCCCAGGAGCAATTAGTTACCTAGATAGGGAAAGACTTTCTAGGTTTTTTTTTTTAACTTTAACATTGCTGTGACATACAAAGTTATTAGTATTTGAATTGATGTTTAAAAGAGCCATTAATTCATTTACCCCAAATGTTCATTAACAATGTAAATGTATGCTGATGTTCTATGAGACAAGGAAGTGACTAATGACTCTTCGCACTAACAACACTTAAAATGAATAGAAACTTAAGATAGCTAATCTTGAAGTAATCAAGACCCTCATTCAGCTTGGCATCTCTGTATGCTCTAAAACAGCTGTCAACTGTTAAAAATATATACACAACACACAGATATGCACATGCAAAGATAGACATATGTAAATACATGGTTCCCCAAAGTCATAAAGGTTACCAACCATGGTACTTTTTTACATTCTATATGTAAATATTTTATATAAAGCATCTATTTCATCTCCATGACTTTTTTACAGTGAAACACAGACTGCATTTTAATCTGATGCCATATGCAGCCAAGATTCAAAATCTTCCAGTTTTATACTATTATTTAAAATAAAGCATGCTGTGGATATTGAGTGTGGGATGGACTTTAGTGTAATTTTCTTAGCACAAATGCCATAACTCAGAAATTCAGTATTAAATGGCTACAATTGCTCTATAAAAAAAATAGGAATGAACTTCTTACATTGCATAAAAGCCCTCCACTGTTGATATGCTATGATGCATTTAGGTAACAGATTAAATTAGTCTCTGTATTAGTGGGGCAAAAAAGTATTTAGTCAGCCACCAATTGTGCAAGTTCTCCCACTTAAAAAGATGAGAGAGGCCTGTAATTTTCATCATAGGTATACCTCAACTATGAGAG